ACACACGTCTTCATGGCAGGGTGTTTATTTAAGCACCTGGACAAATTGATTTTTGTCCATAATGGTGAGTTAACAGGAAGAAATTGTTTAAAGATCCAATAAAAAATGTTTATTGTTAATTAAGAAGTATAAAAATCCTTCATTTGAAAATGTGTTTGCTATTTAATTACCTTTACACTATAATAAACACTGAATGTACTGTCTATGAAATGAGAGAGAAAAACTTTCAAATTGTGATTAGAATGTAAACATTTAAATTTGCTTCTTTCATAAAATTAGTTTTTTGCGTCATCAGAATTATTGGGTTTTTGGACTTTATCCATCATTTGATATTCTAGAAGGCACTATTATTTAAAAAAAATTCCTTTATTCAGGAATCAGATGTGATCCTGCTGATCTGTCATGAAAGCATACTGTACGTGGTTGCACAGTTCTTGTATTACTCTGAATTGTACTTCTGAACACTATGAGGTTTCTGAGCAAACTGACTATACTTTCAAGCACACTGGTACAGAATGGGATTGCCCAACTCACATTCAGCCTGTCAGTTGCAAGAGCATGCTTCCAAATCCTAAAATTTGTGTTAACCCTTCCTCCTCTTCAGAAAGAGGGCATGTGAAGCAGTACAGTCTTGGTGCTGACAGCAGCATTAAATGAGACACAAGAGATTGCAGTGACTCAAGATTCTGAGGCCCTATGCCGTAGTGTCCTTTTTAACATATTCATGAATTTGAGGTTGCCACCATGTGCCTTATATATCTGTATTACATTCTGTACAATTCTAGCAACTTTATTCAATTTTTATTTGACTGAAGTCCAAAACCAAGTCCCTTAGCTGTTGTACCTGTGTTTTATTCACACTAGAAATGTTAGCTCCATTGGAAATCTAGAAATGATTTATGTCTCTTGCTACTGCTATTTTTAAGAATTACGCCAAAGCCCTCTTGTGTTCAGTCTAATGAACCTTGTCATCATTCATCCATCCATCCACCATATCATAGAACTACTGAACACAGAGGATGTGTGAATAGATTCATTTGCCCTTGGTGAAGAAACTTGTAATTGTAAATTTAATGGCACATAAAAATGTTCTACTGTCGTGAAGTGCTGTTCAGAAGCTGATGTCTCCTTATTAATTACAGGGAGAAGCTGCTGAATTAGAGGAGTTCCTTGCATGACAACAGGCGAAAAGAAGGCGGATGAATGAGAAGCCTCTGGATGGAAAGTCGGGTAAGGGTAATATAACTGTTTTATATGTAAATTTATAAGAGCATGAAAAACATGGTTACCTGCTCATCTGAGATGAGTTGATTTTATGAGCTGGCAAGCAGAAATTCAGAGTGGTCATTCATATTAGGAAGTCATGATTAATAATTTGTAGGCAATGAGACTGTCTGCAAGAAACCAAATTGCATCAGATAAATTAATTTTAACTCTGAAGCATGGGCAAATTACATGACCCTAATGCTAAGATAGCATCAGGAAATGTATGAGTGTGCTTGCTTTGAATTTCCTCATGGAAAGCAAACCACTCGTGTTAGTTCCTTATCTTTCCAACACATCAGTTCCAAACACGATGCATTAAGAAATGCCGTCTGCAAGAGTGCACAAAATCTGTTTTAAATTATGGAGATAAATTCAGGTAAGGATTTCTTGGAAGTATTACTTGCACACTTTCCATTCACTGCAATTTGAGTATCTGATGCAATAACTGGATACCCCCCTAGTACGTATGCATAATGAACCCAAGAGAATGACAACAGAAATGGGCTTCATGGAGATTATCCACCATAGTTCTTATTTTTTTATTATTTAAGACAATATTCCGACACTTGAATCTGCCTCCATCCTCAGATAGGCCTAAATTTAATCCCTACGTCCTGATACTAGAGCAAACACAAGGCAGGGTATATAGTGTCAGTGCTGTTAGGCAGACAGAAATCCATCCAGCTTAGCCATTAATACCTGATCCTAGCCATTTTGAAGTTGAAAGTGTTATTGCAAAATTGAAACAGTATAAATCGCTAGGTAGTGATCAAATTCCGGCAGAACTTATTCCAGCAGGAGGCTGGAATCTTATTCTAAGATCTACAATCTAATTACTTCTATTTGGCGTAAGGAAAAATTATCTGATCAGTGGAATGATTATATAATTGTACCAGGTCACAAGAAGGGTGATGAAACTGACTGTAGTAATTATCGGGGAATATGACTGCTATCGAATTCATATAAAATTTTGTCCAATATTCTTCTTTCAAGGTTAAGTCCATATATAGATGAAATTATTGGGGATCATCAGTGTGGGTTTCGACGTAACAGATAAACTACAGATCATATCTTTTGCATTCGTCAGATATTGAAAAAAATGGGAGTACGATGAGACAGTACATCAGCTATTCATAGACTTCAAGAAAGCCTATTGTTATGCCGTGGTGGCAGGGGGCGTGNAATAGAGTTGCGGATACCCATGAAACTAGTTAGGTTGATTAAAATGTGTTTAAATGAAACGTGTAGTAAAGTCCTTGTAGGTAAACATATGTCTGATAAATTTCCTATCCAGAATGGACTAAAACAAGGAGATGCTTTATCGCCACTTCTTTTCAACTTTGCTTTAGAATATACCATTAGGAAGGTCCAGGGAAACCAGGTGGGACTGAAATTAAATGGCACACATCAGCTGTTGGCCTATGCCGATGATGTGAATTTACTGGGTGACAATGTAGATACCATAAAGAAAACACACAAACTTTAATTGACACAAGTAAAGAGGTTGGTCTAGAAGTAAACAGAGAAAACTAAGTATATGTTACCCTCTCATCACCAAAATGCAGGGAAAACTCATGACATAAAGATAGGAAACAGATGTTTTGAAAATGTGCACAGTTCACATATTTGGGAACAACGATAACAGATTGAGGAGGAAATTAAGAGGAGATTGAACTTGGGTAATGCTTGCTACCATTCAGTCCAGAAGCTTTTATCTTCTCATCTGCTGTCCAAAAACATAAAAATTAGAATATTCTGAACTATAATTTTTCCTGTGGTTCTGTATCGGTGTGAAACTTGATCTCTGACATTAAGAGAAGAACATAGACTGAGAGTATTTGAGAACAGGGTGTTGAAGAGAATATTTCGACTGAAGAGGGATGAAGTGACAGGAATTTCGAGAAAACTGCATAATGAGGAGCTTCATAACTTGTACTCTTCTCCAAGTATTATTAGAATGATCAAGTCAAGGAGGATGGGGTGGGCAGGTCACGTAGCATGAATGGGGGAGACAAGGAATGCTTATAAGATATTGGTGGGAAAGCCAGAAGGAAAGAGACCACAGGGAAGACCAAGGCGTAGGTGGGTGAACAATATTAGAATGGATCTTAGAGAGAGAGAATGGGATGGTATGGATTGGATAGATCTGGCTCAGGATAGGGACTAGTGGATTGTTCTTGTGAACACAGTGATGAATCTTAGGGTTCCATAAAATTCTGGGAAATTCTTGAGTAGCTGCTGAATTGGCGGCTCCTCCAGAAGGGCTCAGCTCCATGAGGAAGTAAGTATGTCAATATACCGTAGTCACAAACTTTATAGTTTTATTTTTACTCTCAGAACCTGCTTATTTTATTCCAAATCTGCCATTTCTTATCATACATATTTATTATTTCAGGCACAACCACCTGGAAAGAGTGCTCTGATGACGACGACAAAGATATTCTGGTTCTGGACATGGACGAGGAACTCTTAGAAGAAATGGATTCATTATTGAGGGAAATGAAATTGTGATTATAGTTTGACGTAGTCTGTTTTGATTATTTTAAGTCAATAAATCTATAGTTTTTGTTTAATGAATGTATTTATTCTATTCTGATTATTTTAAATTAATAAATCCATAATTGTTATGTAATCAGTGTATTGTATTATGGTTGTTTTAAATTAATAAATCTATAATTGTTATATAAAAAGAAACCATGAGTCCATTATTTTATTAGAACACTCAGATTTGTCACTGAATGATTAAGAAAAATGACAACCATATGCTTAATTAGTTAAGCACTATGCCATAGACACATAGGGGGCATGGAGGTGGATTTCTGCCATTCTTGACTATTTCACTAGATGGAGGTGAGTGGTCACCTTCACTCCCCTCCTGATTTATCCCCAGTACAGACTGGATAGGCGGCCAAGATGTGGGCTTTGAAGACTGTTGCTTATCAGAATGAGAATTGTTACATACACAGAACCTCTGTGTTTCACTGGCAGCATTGCTAAGTAGAATTTTGAAAGCTGCTGCTCATTTGTCTGCTTCAGCAATTAAATGATTATTTGAAATGCATTCACGCTGTAAGATGTGGTTATGATGGTCACATGTATGGACTGTGTGTTGTTTATTATGCAGAGGTAGATTCATTTTTGGCACAAAATGGCTTTATTTTATTTTGGCTAAACTGATCAAGAAAGAGATAGAGATTTTTTCCTGGAGTTTGTTTAACTTTTCTGTTTTTAATTAGTTAAGCCCTGCACCTTGAAAACATGCTGGATAGCAGATGAGTTGTCAGCTTCATGCCCTGGCTACTTTAACACCAGGAACAGAGCTCCAGTACCCATTGGATAGGATGCTGGGTGGGTGCCACAGCTGGTCTGGACATTGCAGCAGAGAAACATTCCTTGCCCCAGTCGGGAACCAACTGTGATTAGTTGCCATAAGGTGTTGTTCCGACTGCGTTTCTTTTAGCGTTCTCTTCTTAATGTTATAATGATTTGAACTATCAGATATGAACCTTCATAGATTTCCATAATTTGCAACAAGTGTGGTTGAAGCAGATGGCATTAGTAAAGAGGTTATGAAAACGTGAGAACAAAACAAACTTTTTAAATGAATACGGACACGCTGATTACAAATCTGGACAGATACACTTTTTATATAATTACAGAATTTCAGTATAGACTTTTGAATGGAAGCAGCCTATTTTATACAAAAGTATTTCTTTTCACTACATGTAGATGCAGCCTTTGAGAGCAGACTGTTGGAGTTTGTTCATCTTTATGTGTTAGAAAAAAATATGCACTTAACAATACAAGAAGTGTTTAAGTATTTCCACATTGCATTTACACCCCTTTGGAGCCTAGTTTCTTGAAAACATTTGTAATAACACAGATATTATCACATGTTAGGGTTGTGACTGTTAGACGGGGTTTTGAGTGGACGATTGGCTTTATTGCACTTATACAGTCAACTCATAATTACAAGTAATACAGCACTATCGCTGATCTGCACGCTTTACAGTTCACTGTTACCCACTCACTAGGGTTCTCAGTCTTCAGTAGTTGTATCCTGGCAACTGATTTCAGCACAGTAATTATACCAGTCTCACTGTAACTGCAGCACCCTTTAAGTCTTCTTTGTACAGCCACACACCTGCAACTCAACTAACTCCCAGGTGCCATCTCTTCTGTATCATCTTCGGCTGCCATCAAGAGAGATTCCCTCAATTATTCTCAGCTAGGCCGGGATCCTCGTTATGTAGCCTCAGTGTGGACCCAACAGAAAACACCATTTCCTTCCTTGTAGCATAACTGTACTTCGACTGTTGCTTATGTATTCGTTGCCATGGGAACCTGTTTACCAAGTCATTCCATACATCTACTCTGGCCTTCAGGCGTCATGTCACAATATATTCAGTTGCTTCTTACCGCTGAAGTACAGAACCTGTGTGAGCACAACAGATCACTTTTATCACCGACTTTGCACCCATCAAGAGAAGCAACTACCACAGGTTCACTACAGCAGATCCTGGGAGAAACGAGGCAGTGCGCACTATGTGAAGTGCTGTTGCTTTGCAAGTAAAAGTAAATAATGTTTGCAGATATGAATGTAGTCTTTTTTTGCATGAGAATATATTTTTGAGACTTAACAGCTTGTGTTTTAGGGCACGCAGTAAAATAGTTGATTGAGTCACTGTGCTGCAAGCCGGAAGGTTGTGGGATCGAATCCCAGTGAGGCCATTGAATTTCTTTCAATTGACCTAATCCTTCCAGCCGCACTATGGCCCTGGGGTCGACTTAGCCTCTAACTGAAATGAGTACCAGGAATATTCTTGGAATGATCTTGGGGGTAAAGGGTGGCCGGCGTGTAAGGCTGACAACCTTACCACAAACTATGAGCCGATTGTGTAGAAAATGTGGGAACCTCAACATCTCACAACCCTATGGGCTTCCACAGCCTGTTACAGGGATACCTTTACTTTACTTTTTACAGCTTGTGGTTACACTTTGCATTCCACAAGCCAATTAGATCAGCTTGGTGTGCTTCTGTTAAAACTGTCATGGCTGAAAAAGTTAGCTTGATGTGAATCAGTCACTTTGCACAGCATTTCTGTAAATAGATGACATTAAATATGATGTATCAGTGTTTAGAGGAAGGGACAGGCTTTCATGATGTCTGTACCTGTTGTTATTTTAAGTAATGCATTTTTCTGTGCGGCTGCATTTATCCTCACGCAATGTTGATGTTTCTAGCAAGCAGTCCTATGGCAGGTCGTCCACATTTCCTGTGCGTTCACACATTCCTCGAAAGGTGCTAAAGTAATGGTAGGTTTGTTAAGTATAGAAGGATGGCTAAAATTTAATTTCTTTGACCTTGTTCTTGTTGCAGATTGCAGGATGTCACTTAATATTCCTGGTGAACCAGGATTTGATAAGCCTAATTCACCATGAAGCTGCCAAGATGAACCTCCAGCCTTGAACAGTTTCTTGAGGTGATGGCTGGACTTCATGCTTCAAATGTTGGCCTTACAGCTATGCCTCTTGAGGACCAGTTTCATGTGAACTCACATTTCTGATATCTTGAAAATTATTGTCCTGACTAATATGATCTTCGATGAGTAAATTTCTTTGTTGGAGACATACTGAATGTTGAATTCCAGATCAAACTTGTAAAGCCTACTATCCTATCTATCCTACTGGATACACTTGCTGCTATGGTGCACTGAATTGTCTGTAATAATAATACTCCTAGTCCGTTAAGAAATCAAGTTACCAATTTAACCACAGAAATCCAATGCTGCGTCTCCCTTACAAAGTTGTGTTGCTCTTATTACTGACTGTAGAAGGTAAAATCCATGTTCTTAATTTAATTAAGGACCACACCCTGAAGATGTAAGGAGAAATGGAGATATAGCTCCATAATTCTTGAGTAGCTGTAGGCAAGTGGTCAGCTGCACTTAACCTCCTGAGATAGTACCCCTGGTGT